TTATCTCAAAGAATACTTCTTTATTTCGATATCTCCCGGGGTTATTTCATGGATAAACTGGTGCTTTCCAAATGCAATCCCCCTAGCTCGTACAATAAGTGAGGGCTTGTATATACAATATATTAAATTGTCGTAAGGTGAAAAATTTATGCTTCTACTGCATTAGAATTTTTATAAATATCTTATTTGACACGCTGTGCATACAATATGCTCAATTCTTTTGTTTCTGGTTTAAAGTCTACATGGATTTTTGTGGAAACAATATTTATGGGGTTTTTAGGAATAAAATATGGAGATTGGGTATCAAATGGAGTGTTTTAAAAGAATACTCTTTTTTTTATTAACAAATTAAATAATTTATAGTTTTTGAGGGACTCTTGAATGAATATTTGTTACTATTTTGGTGCAATTAGAATAATATCATTAATATAAGTGCATCACAAAAATGTGTTACAATTTGAAAGCTTATATTTCTAAGAAAAAAATCGTTAAATAATGAAGCGAATAGGAGAAATAAATAAGTAATAAATGGACTAAAAATCTTGTCCAAGTATATTAAAAAATTAATAATTATACCTTTTCAGTTAATACAAAAAATTTCCCATCTTTTTCGTATGTTTAATATTTTAAAAAATGATTTTGCTGTATTGTAGAGAAAGTACGCTAGAATAATGGATTTATTGTTAAGGTATTTCGATTGCTCCGGACCATATGAAAAAAAACACCCAGGGCCCTTTGAAATTCGTTTCTTTTTTTTTATTGAAACATACGTTTGATTTTCTAACAACCTTTCATCCTAATGTAAAAAAAAATAGTAAGGTAAAATTAATCCCAATCGAAATAGCTTAAAAAATATCATTGGCAAAACTTTGTAGCTGAAATATTATATTAATAGAAAGAAAATTTTTAGTGATATCAGGTTTCAGTTTCAACTTTTTAGTTTAATGACAAAGAGTTGTCACGGAGAATCTGTTGTTTATTTTACATTACAATAAATAGAATAAAAAAAGAGTAGAAGAAAAATTTTGATTCGATTCTTTTTATTGAGAAACTTCACGAAGAAAATTTTTTAAATGTTTCAACTTTGCAATGAAAGTTATTTTTAGTGTTGTATGGAATGTCGTATGGTAGAGAAGACTTACTAAAATTGAAGTAATTTTTATAAAAGCATTGAAGCCAAATATGGACCAATTTAAACATTTCTTAATCAAAATACAACTTTATTGGTCTCATAATTTACCGTAGTTATTAATTCTTATATTTCCTAATAAATAGCTGTAATAACTCGAATGTTAGTAGATATAAAAGTTATTTGATTTATTTTCATTTTATTTTATCTACCAATTTCAATTAATTTTACTATCTAATTAAGTTGATAGCTATTTTAATTTAAAGTTAATCAAGTTAATGTCATAAAATTTATGTTAATTCGATTTTAAAATAGTTAAGAATTCTCTCATATCATTCGCTAAACATTTTATAGATCTTTTCATTCATTTTTTTAGAGAGAATGATTATGTTATTTCATTTATTACTCTCATTAACCCAGTAATACCTTTACGAAGTTATTTTTTACAATATTTATTATTCCAAATGTGTAATTACTTGTCGATAAATTAAAAATAAACAATAGTGATGGAGATATAAATTACTGAAGCGTATTTGAAAATTAAATTATAATAATAATTATTTGAATACATACCGTTGAATCAGTGAAATCATATTTTACGAATTTTCTATTTTTATTTTAATATGAATATTTGTTTACACAGCATCCGAAAATTAATATTAAATTTTTTATTGACATTTAAAAATACCATCATTTTTTAATTACATGAACTTATAAATACAGCTTTTGTGATGTACTATATTTTAGTGATATGTAATTAAATTTTTTTATTTCGTCTAATTAATAAAAGTTAATGAATGCTGGAAAATTTTTATACAATAGCATTTACAATGAATAAAATATAACAAGTACGAAAAAAAAGAAAATAATGCCTGTGTATTTCTTTTAAATATTAACAACTTCAAGTAAGAAATGTTAATTCAATTAATAAAAATAATTGGAAATATTTTTAATGGAATATTCTATTGAATTTCATGAAATTTTGTTTAAACAAAGGATTTTGGTATGTGGTTCAAGATTATGAATCCTATGCAACAATGCATGATTTTTTTAATCTGAAAAAAATATGTATGATTTTATTGAAGGACTAAACTGTTTTTAATAATATTCATTGTACCATAAATCATTGGCTGAATTGTAGAGTTAAGCAACATAAGCATAATTCTTACTTTATCAGACACCATGGATCTTGAAGAAAAATAATCAATTCAATAAAACACTGGAGTAAACCAATGCTCAGATTATTCTACTCAAAATAATCGAGCACCAGAAAAATGTCTTTTTTCAATGAATTATTTTTTAATTATTTAGTTCTAATAATTATCAGAACTAAATTTATAAAAATGTTACCATGTCAATTTAAAAAAAAAAAAAAAAACATTTTATTGTGACTATTCAAAATTTCGATTTTATTAATTCAAAAAAATATTAAATCTCCATTGGACTTTTTCCCTTAGATATATTGAAGAGCAAAGATTACTAATTAAAATGTCATTTTAAATCTAAAAAAATCCTCAACGTTGTAAAAATAACCAATATTCCCCACGATCAATTTCTAAATCCATAGAATAATGAAGAGTTGAAGAATCCAACTGACTTCGTTAGCAGGATGTCATTCAAAATGACATTCCAATTAATAATTGTCACTTGACGATTTCCAGTGATTTTCACTGTTTCATTTTTAACGAGTAATAGACATGAAAATCAATGGCAATGTTCTTAACATATCATTATAATTCAACAAGACGACGAGTCCTGTTACAGCTCCAGGATAGTCTTATTCCTGCTACAAGGTTTGACTTGTTGGAGTACCAGGGCAGTGTCTTGTACTTGCAATAAGGTAGTTACTACCTCAAGATAGTTGTGTTTTAAGCACTATCCTATTTTATGGTTCTCTTTTTTCCATGTAAGAACTGGGGAAAGAAGCTGGGTAATTTATTTGAAGTAGGACCCCAATTCTTATCCTTCCATTTACTAAATTTATCAAAACTCAATTGATCTACAAATGGATGGGCGATTAGAAGATATCTTAGTCATTGAGATAAAGTTTCTTTTATTAGATCAATAGAACTCTGATGGGACCGATGAGTAAATTTCTTCAAATCAAAGATAAACTTGAAAGTTATATAATCCATAGATCTTATCATTGTTCGAGCCATTATAATAACACTTACTCCTTCATTTTTTCTTTAATTGAAGTTGGAAGATTCACATTTATTTTTCGCTATTATATCAAAGACTACTATTGCATTGTTAAGATTTATTTTTAATCTTCGATAATAATACTTAACGTCTTAAATAAATTTATTTTCTCGGAAGTTGGAAAACTTTTGAATTAATATTTTATTCATTCAGCTATAAATGAAAAAAGAGGGAGAAAAGCAAGTTTATAATAAAGAAAGTTTGTATTTCAATACGATAATATAATCATTATTTTAATGATTTTGCTATTATATTTTATTTAATAATAAAAATGTCACTTGACATTTTTTATTCTGTATTTGATAATATTTACAACCGTCTTTTTAGCGTATTTAAATGACAAATGCTATAACAATAATCAACATTTCATTGTTTTTATTTACTTACCTGAGCTTATAAATGCAAAAATCATATCATATAAATTCTAGGATAAACCACTGCTTTATATTTTTCTGTAAATCAGCAAAGAAATTGACAGATGGAGAAAAAAAGCTTTAGATTGAGGTTTAGTTAGGAAAACCTTAGGAAAAAGTAACAGCTAACTCATGTCGAATTTTTTTTTCTCACCAATTTGTTAATACTGTGGTCAAACCGTAGTCTTTTTTAATTTTGTGATGTCATGAATTATTTCTTTTATTAGCCTACACCTAGTGCGGTAGTTGGGATGGAGTAAGAGATTGTTGCATGATATATTTAAAATAATTAATAAATTATTCTTTAATTTAAAAATAAAATACAATGGGATTACATCAATAGGATTATTTATATTTAATAAAAGTATTAGGGAGCCTATTCAAAATTTTATTTAATAATAAATCAAAATTTTAATTCAAATAATACAAAAATTAATTATTAACACGAGATTTTAAATTCTTTGAAATATAATAAAGATAAATATTTAACAACTTACTTGTGATATTTTATAAAAAAAAAATTTTGTTCTAAACTTTATAATTTGATTATTTAAACTCAAGTTTCACTTGAAGGACATTTTTGGCTGTTCCTACCAAGTATCAACATCCTTTTTTTACATTTTTAAATGAAAAATTCGTTTTGATTGGTTAAAATAAAATCAATATTTAATTTAAAAAAATTCTAAAGCATTGTTAAATACAATATTTATTAATTAAATATAGTAAAAAAATATTTCTTAAAATAAATTAAATAATTAATACTCCATATTATTACCTATTTCATAATTTTACATTTTAAATAAATAACGCATGGCTGTGTAGTGTGAAATGACGTGACAATTAAAAAATCCCAAATTATTATTAATTATCCCAATTAATTTACTAACTTAAAAAAAAAATAACCCTTCTCATTAAATATAACTGGATGATGTAAGCCAAGTGCAACGGTTTTCTCACTGTGGTTTAATTTTTTCATCACATGGGTAATTGTTTCTTTTTTTTTCATTGCCTGAACATGAACGAAAATTCTCTTCAACTTACATCCGGCTTCACGGCGCCGTAGATTCGTCGCTATCCCCTCAGCTCCGTATGGCTCTTATCCTTCTGGTGTTTTTTTTTATTTTTCGTTCACGCTACTCTTTCTCTTCTTGTCCCTCTCCATCCCCAGCTTGCATCCCCTCTTTAGGGGGTTGCTCAACCTGCCACACCACTCAGGATGTCTTACCACCACTATCTAGTGCGCCGAGCGCGCTCCACCGAGTAGGGTGTGTTTGAATCAGACAGACTTTACCCTCGGACGAATACCACGTGCTCTCGATAGTTTGCTTGTATTTACTCATAATATTTAGTCTTTAGTGTAGACAGTAGAAATTAGTGCTTCATTTACATACCAATCGAATAAACAATTCTACATTATGTTCAATTAATTTTGGTGAGTAAAAATATTTTTATTTATAAAATCATTTTGTTTGATAAGAAATCATTCATGGTAAACAATTATTATTAAAAGGATTGAAAAAATAAAATATTTAAAAAAAAAAATTCAATAAATCAGTATCAGTATTGTAAACTACACTTTTTGAATAACGTAGATTATTTATTTAGTATTGAATGCATTTATTTTAATTTGATAACAGATAATAAAATATAAATTCAATAAAATATTTAAATTTAAATCTATCACGATATCATGCATGGTTGAGTAAAATAAGATTATTCTAAAAAATTATTTTTATTATACATATATATATTATACATATTTCTGTTAAATTGATATTATATGCTTTTTTGAGCTTTTCATTTATTAATACTAAAAAATATTTGTATTGATATTACAATGAGAACAAAATTTATAGTGAACAAGTAATATTTTTTTGAATTAATGAAATCAAAACTTTGAATAGTTGTAATGAATTTTTTTTTTTGAAAGAGACATTTTTATAGATTTAGTTCTGGTGGGGAATTTGAAATAATCAAAAAGTAATTCGTTGAAAAAATACATTTTTATTGTGCTTGATTATTTTAAATAGAATTATCTGAGTATCAGTTTTTTCTAAATAGTTTATGATTCTATCGATTATTGAAGAATATATTATTCAATGCAGACCTAATAAAATTTCTTTAAACAAATAGTTAACAAACTAGAGAGTAAATAAATCATTCAAACATTTTTAATTTATCACTAAGTTTTTAAAATTTTTTCCTATTAAATCGTTGAGACATATTTATTAGAGTTTCCACACGAATGATTTATATACGTATTTATATTTTAAGAGTAGATTTTTACAATTAATTGAATGCAAACAGTTATTTTTCGACAATAAAATCAACCTCTCTTGGCCAGTTTACCAAAACTGCATAAAATATTACTTCATAATGTCGTAATTATTTATCTGCAAATAACTAATGATTCAATTATGTACATAGGGTATACAATTATAATAAACAACATCAATAGCAGCCCGTCGAATTTCCTGAATTAATTTTGAATACTATAAAAGCATTGAAATAATATCATTACTATGATTATAATGACAATCATATAAACAGTTGAATTATCCTAGCATATTATTCGGAAGATGATAATAGAAACTACTATAGATATGATTTACTAAAATTAATAATAAAGCTTTAAAAAATTATTGTGATAACATTTTTTAAATATTAAAAGGACAATTAATGAAATGTCGTTATTGAAATGATGTTAAGTGAATGAATAAATGTAAAAAGAATTCAAGTTAATGGATCAATATAAAATATAGATTGCATTTGAATAATTCGAGATAATCAATTAAAGTTTATTTAAAATTTTCTTAAGCTTACTATTGAACGGATTTACGTTTCCATTTATCACCGTCATGAATGGGATTCTTTCAAAGAAGAACGGAAAATAAGTTAAAAATTGCTATTTTCCTATTCACCATTTTTTTATGTGACACAATAACTTTTTATTTATATCAATGGATTTTTGTAATAATGAAAAAATCGTTTATTGTTGGAGGTTTCATGTTGCAATGCAATAAAATATCTTTAGAAATCCTGGCAATGTTTTCTAGCTTTCAAAGGTGAATTGTCTTTTTCTGCAATCTTTAGAAAAATTAGTATCACTTCTAAATTGAAAGAAAAATTTATTTTTATGAAATAGAAAGTGTAGTTCAATTACTAGAGATACTCACACATCTTAACCTTTTGTAGCCAATATTTCTGTAACAAACTAACAATAATCTTGTAACAATAATATTATTGTTGGATAATGATAATTATTAACAATAAGAATATAGTAATGAATATAACAACAAATTAAACACCAACAATAATAGCAATAATAATTAATTAATTATTAATAGACAATATTTAACAATTTAAATATTTTTAAATGTCTAAAAAATACGTGGTTTTTTATATGCCTAAACTTATCTCATCAACATAATTTATTTTTTTAAGATCTTGGGCTACAAAGGGTTAACATTTGATAAAGATAACGTACCAAATTTCAGATTTTTTTTTAATAACAAATGTTAACGATTTTTAATGCATTAATAAATTGAAAACCTGATAAACGAAAATCTCAATGAGGAGTTTTAAACGTATATTAATAAGTTAGTACATTTTCTCGAGAGTTCCACTTTACCTTCTCTTCCCCTAATTTGTTATATTCTCCTGAAAACATCCTATGAAAAAATAAAATGTAGATATTGGTGCAAAAATTTTAATAATATTAAATCTTAAATAATAGAAAATAAATTATATTACAATTTTCGCTTGTAATTAATTTTTTTTTTACAACTAAATTCATTTTATCAGCTACGCTCTTTTTCCATGGAGACTTTAATTTTTGAAATAATATTTCTGATGAAGCATTCAAATCAAATAATTGCCCTAGAATCTTTCATTAATTTGTTAAATAATAGAAATTCTTGTTGTAAAATTCTTGTACTAAAAATAATTTTATTAAATTTTCAATACTCATACATGAATATTATTATTGTTGTTTTTATTATTACTAATATGGTAGAGTTTTTTTTCAAGACCAAAGTTAATTCCTACTCTAAAAATTTACTCAATTGGTTCGAAATGATGATATGCAATTAAATATAGTTCCAACGTAATAACTTTAAAATACGTTCTACAATGTAGGATACCAATGAAGGGGGTGGCTGACAATTAGTTCTCAATATTGAAATAAAATTAAGGTAATTAAAATCATTCAAGTAATGAGAATCATTGCAATTAATACTTCATCATCTATCTATTGGCTTAGTTGACTATACTTTTATGTAATAAAATTTCAGGCATTAACAAGTGAAGAAGCTGAGATAGAACTTTAACAAAAGCCTCCAAGGTATAACGTGATACAACGACGACCAACTTTTGCCTGACAACCTTTTATTCAGGATAATGGAAGCCAATGCTGGGGGCAACAAAATACTATGCTTGTAATGCTCTTGGTGTTTCTCACCTTCTGTTAATACGGATTTTACTTTGACTCAACTTTAAAAAAAAGACTTTTGCGCTTCAAGTTTTGACGACATTTTTATTTTTTTATTAAAAAACAACACCAGTTATTTTTTCTTATGTTCAAATGAACCACAGTTTTTTTCTTTCAATGTTACTTTTTTTATTATACTCATCAAACAGCTAACACTTGTTGTACATTCTAATACAGTCTGAAGAAAAATGATTTTAAAGAGAAAAATGAGACGAATTTAATTGATGGTTTGTAGAAAGAAAGTATAATTTTGATAGAAGAAAAATCCAAGAGAAAGAGTTAACTGAATGGAGGGAGGAGTAGTCTAGGCAAACAGGTAAACTCAGTACGAGTTGAAGCATTCAAGTTGCTATAAAGTTTCTCACCAGCACGGAAGCAGAAATGGAGTCAAAGTTGTTTGGAGTGATGTTGCTTGCATGGCTAAGGCTTGTTGCTGGCTCACCACTGTATCCACGATTCATAATGCCTGACGAAGGTACACAAAATATGCTTTTATTGAAATAGAAAATAAAAAATAATTTATTACTATGTGGGAATGTATTTAATTAATTGATCATTTTCCATTATTACTCTGAAAGATGAAAGGGAAAGTAATCTTATTTTAACTTGATCCCAAATGAAAATTAAAATTTTATTTCAATGGAAATATCAAAGATAAAACTGCTGTACAGTTAAAATAGATTGCACAATAAAACCTTTAGCATTTTTTATTTTTTTTTTGTTTTGTTTTTTCAACATATTTTTTTAATGATTGCAGTGAGTGGATTTTTCATTTTTTTTTTTTAATTCTATGTGCTGTGTCGTAAGAAAAACTTCATAAGTTTCTACTTACTTTATGATTTCTCTTTTTACTTATTTCTTTCATCCTGTTTTATGCTCACATGTTGGAGAATTATATTGATGTGTTTCTCGTGTCGTTTTGCACTTTTCACAAGCGGATGTCAGCATTTTTGTAGTTGAATGCTACACAAATCCATCTCTTCTTCTCTTATTCGAGTGTTGACACAGCCATATAACAAGTCGTTTCACAAAATTTTATGACCCAACGCTTTACAATTCTCGGATTCTGCAAACTCTAGTGTTACATCAAACTTTGTAATTATATGATTGACAAAAAATAATTGGATAGGAAAAAATTCAACAGATTATCTTGAAATTTTTATGTAGGTTATTTCGAATTAAAAAACATTTTTACTTTCAAAATTTTTTATCATACTTAAGGGATAATAAATATAAGATTAAAAGATAGATCAATTTTTTTGGTAATTAATAAAATAAAAAATTTAAATAGTTGCAATGAATTATTTTTTTCTGTTATATAATATTCTTTAACAGTTAAACAACCGTATATTAATTATTATACTCTGCTTGTTATTGTACAAAGAATATTTTTTATTAGTCATAAATTATTGTAATTATTAAAAAAAATAATTTAACTTATACAGCTGATATTTTAATATGGATTTGATCAATGTAACATCCAATGGTGCTGCAAAACGCATTTTTAGATTGTTAAAAAATATCTTTTTACTGTAAAAAAATTTTTCTTTACGATAAAAGAAGATTATTTACTATTAAACAAGTAATTTTGCTGTAACCAACACTTCGATAAAATATTTATTTACAGTAAAAAAAATCACACACAAAAAATAAACTCTTATTGTGTTCGATTATTTTGAATAGAATTATCTGACAGGAAGAAGATTCGAGTTTGGGAAGAGGGTTCTTTACAATATTTGGTAGTTGTGTTGTACGAGTGCATACTAATTTTTTTTATTATATAATTATATTTTTACTAATTTGTCAAAATTTTTTAAACATAGTAATACGAAATCTCTTTTATAAATTAATAATGGATCAATCATAAATTCTATACATTCTAAAAATTTGTGATAAAATAATATTGATCAACAATGAGCCTATTTATACTTGTACAAGTTTGTAACGAACATTGAGGTAGTAAAAAGCTCATTCAATTTTTGTCGTTTTAGAAATTCCTAGAGCTGATAAAAATTCTTTCCGCCAAATTCAGCAGAATAACTTCAACAATTGTTTTCATTCCTCTAAAATGCAATCTCGAAAACCATTCTATGACAATTTTTCGCTGAGTTAGGAATTTTTGAAGCAAAAAATAAAAATTAAGGGATAATATTTTTCGCTGTCTATTAATTCATGAACGTAAAATAACATATCACTATTCTTAAAGTGTTGGCTATCAATAGGACCACTTGAATTCAGCGAAAAAATGTGAACATTTCATAGAATAAATTGTCAAAGAATGGCAGACGTTTCAACGTGGTTTACTCATGCAAATGAAAAAATCCAAAAATCAAAGATATTTTTTTTATTTTAACTGGATTATCTGCTGACAATTGTGTTTTGCTACTATTGGCGCGCCAATCATTAAAATTTATTTGGTGACTAAAAATCGTTGCAGGAAACGCGAAAAAGTCCAATGAAAAAAAGTAGATAAAAAAATAAAAATTGAATTTTAACACACACTGTGTGAACATTTTTGTTAAAAAATTCCATGTATTCCTTTTCTGTAACAAAGTGGAGAATGTGAAATTTTTATGACAATTGAACCTGTCAAAGTTAGAGTTACCTACAGTCTACGAACATATACATATACTTTTATACGTTGAGTAGTCGATCAGGAATATTTTTTTCTTATTTTTACATTTTAGTACATTATTGTTTAACACATTGACTTGCATGGTGGTTTTTTACCTTCAGCATTTACGATAAAAACAGTAATGAGTTTTAAACTACATCAAAGGATAACGTGAGTTAGCAAAAAATTAGCCATCACTTATTGGGATTTCCGGTATAGACGAAGAAATGCATTTCGCAATATGATTGGAAAAAAATGAAAATAAATGGTGAATTTATTACGTTAAGCGGGTTTTGTTTTTTGTCTATATTCAATGGAGTTATAAATACGTTGATCATCTAGATATTTCATTTTTGGAAAAAAATTTTAAAAAACGAGTGAAAAGTGTATAATGTTCTTTAGAAGATATGAATTTTTATAACGATTTCCTAAAAATAAAGAGATGGATGGAGATTATGAGATGTTTTTTTTTAAGATAACAAAAATGCAATGAAAATAAGTTTTAGTTTTTTTAGTTTTTAATTAAAAGAGAAATTAAACAAACCGTAAATGCTCTAATGCTTAAGAGTTGAACCTCATACTTGAAATATTTATTTCGCTTTACCTCAAAACTTGCAAAAAATAAAAATTTTGTTTGATTTTGTTTTCAAGAAATTTTAACTTGAGTAATTTTTGATTCCTCTTCAATGAATTTTTTTTTTCTATTAAAAACTTTTTTTTTTAATTTATAAAACTAATTTTTTCCACTAGAACATTATCGTTTGTTTTCTCTTTTTTAATAACTTTAAGTTGACTCAATTGATTGGACTCCATCTATTGTTAAAGCACATTTTTTAAAATAATTTTTTCATTCCCACAAATAGTAAGTCTAAAAAATATTCAAGAATTTAATTTAATTTTGACTAAGTACATCTCGTAAATAGATGCATGAAAAATCATTTTATAAATTTAGAGGTACTTAATAGAACGTTTGAATATTAATTTAAAATTCGTTTATAGTTGAATTCAATTTTTAAAGCTCTTTTTGAATAGTTAATAGTTTGAAAACACTAATCCTCTTGAAGCTCATAAAAAATTCGATCACTTTATTCAACTCAATACTCTTTGTTGTTAAAAATGTTAAAAAATCTTATTATATAATTTAAACAAAAAAAAAGTTAATATTTATTAAATTGTTATTTAAAAAAAAAAAAAAGAAATTCTTCTAATTCAACTAAAAATGAAAAATTAAACTTTTAGCAAGTCACGTTTTTTTCCATGAATTCTTGAGTACAAAATGTTGGTTTTATTTTGAATTAGGAATCAAGAAAGGATCATATATCAGGCACTATACAGGAGCTTTTTACGACACGGAGGCATTGAAGGAGCATCGAGCACGATCACGTCGTGACTCTTTGTCGATAGGAAAAGAAGATGGTGTTACTTTGAATTTACATCTCAACGCGTTCGACAGGTAAGTCGATCAAGTCGTAAGACGTCAACGTCAACAAGATGTATATACATGTAGACTTAGATTAATGGGAGTTGGTAAGCAAACCAAGCCGTTGACCAAAAGGTATAGATGTCTACAGACCAAGTTAGGAGGGACTGAGTAAATTGGAGTAAATAGAGCGAGTTAGTAGATTTTGAGACTCTGTAGAAAATAGTATCACAGGTGGTGTGAAAATCTCTTTTAGTATAAATATTGACTTTGGACCAGACCAACAGCAAGCAACTAGTCGTCCTTTTACGTTCAATATCTGATGCTAGGAATCGATGCTACGTGACCAGTAGAATAGTTGTTAGTAATCGATCTTCTCTTTAAGGATGCTCTTCTCTTTGTTCTGACAAACATCATTTACCCGGTGTAATAAACGTGATATCAATACCATCAAATTACACAATTAAAGAGGTCTAGTATTTATGAGGCTTCATTTAATCTGGAAATCATAGTGGAAAGGTCATCAAAGGAATCTGAATGGTAGCACTTGGTCATTTAGCGATGAGAACCAATTAAATGTGATCAATGACCGACATGAAATCAATGTATAGTTTAATAACTCTATATTTTTTACCAATTAGTCATAAGAATTTTGATAAAATGACTGCTGGATTACTGCTTTTAGTTGAGAGAGATTTAGAGTCGTTAGGAATTTGTTTAATTTGTTTTTTAAAATGTTCTGACAATAAAGGAAATGAAGGAAATTTCATCAATATTCACTATTAGCTATTCTATTGACATTTATTTGAAAATTTAAATAAACTTGAAATAGTAGTTTTCAATTACTTGAAAAGTCTTTTGTTGACATTCTAACAAATGCAATATATTTTTTTTTAATTACAAACTTGGTAAATGTATGTTTATTAATGGTTGTAGAGGAAAATTTATTGAAGAAATGAAGAAATTACTATCAGCAAGTCATATGGAATCAAAATAAATTACATTTTTTTACAAAGTAGTTTTTTTTAGTAATTCATCAAAAGCAGAAGTTGATGGAAATATGAAATTATTTATTCTCAGTACTTTTTATTGGTTTAATCAATAAAATAAATACGATTTGTCATTTTTAATCATTCAAGTTTACAAATTAAAATATCAACATTAATATATCTAGTTGGCTTTGGTAAACTTTCGATTAAGAAACACCTCTCCCTCTCCCCCTTTATTCGAATGAAACTTTGGACATTTGTTGACGTTGGGAGGACATGCGAAATCTCCAAACAATTTTAGCTAACTATTTATTTATAGATATTTGAATGTAAATAATGAGGAGAGGAAGTTGTGGCGAGAGTAGGATGTTGGGGTCCAGGAGCAGAGCCTCAGTATATATTTGTATGGTTGTTGAAAACTGATAATTACCTCCATGCAGGGTTGGTTTTTTTCTTTTTGGGGTCTAGTCTCTTAAAAAAATCAGTGAAGATTCACTGATTATCAGTGCCAATCCAATTATATTTATATTTTAACAATAAATATATTATTTTTCATATGGATTGATTTTTTCAATGATTGCATTGGCACTGAAATCCGGTAAATACCCACTGATCCACAGTGGTTTTCACTGATTCCGTGTAAGAGAGAGTGGAAGCACAGTCTCTAGTGTAAATAAAATTTATAGATCACTAATTGAGGTAAATACGTGAAAAAGATTTGTTCTGAATCAGAAGTTTCCCTTAATCAGTCTTATATCCAAACTTTCTGATGATTAAAAAAAATAGATGAGTTAAAAAAAAACTTGTTTTCGTATAAAAAATATTAAAATTTATATCGAACTCTGAAAACTGATAAATAATATCATCTTCGTTTAAATTAAAGTGTTTTTTTCATAAAAAGAATACAAGTCAAATCTTCTTTTTACTCAGTTTTTCTATTACCTAAAAATGAATCTAATTTTTTTTGTCAGATTTAAAATTACCCCAAAAATCAGAGACAAAAGATAAAGTAACTTTGAAGCAGTGTATTCGAAAACAAAATTAAATATTAAATACATATAAAATGACAACAAAATTTTGTACAACAATAATCTAATGAGGAAACGTCTGATTCTTTTATGTATTTTTTGGTCAAATCGGAATCGATTTAGTAAATAATTCTGATTCTCTCGCAACTCGACGTTGATTTATGATGATGATGACGAGACTGCGTGTTGTGTGGTGATCGACAAATTTGCATTGTTACGATGTGCATGTGTGTATCGAGCATGAATATATGGGACAATTTAGGAAGCTACTCATTGTTGAGATTAACGTCAACAGAATAATGTATCATAGCGAATTAAGTGTTATATTGATGATTACTTGGTCTTATATATAACCAAGAGATGATAGGTATAACACTGACGGTTATGAAAATTAATGACTTCATCATATTGACAGCAGTGTACTTACTCGTACATTTATTTGTATTTGACAAACTCCATTCATTTTAAATAGGCTTGAGTTTTATTTGGAAGTGACAGAATCATTGAATTTGTGTTTATAAATTGTTTATATGGTTGTTATACTCAAATTGCTCCTGAAACTCATGGATATTTACCAGGGATCATTTTTAATGAGTCAATATTCATCAATTAATATGAAAGAGGGTTAAAAATAAATTGATATCACCGTTAGGTAAATTAATTAAATGGAATTCCATTTGTAGAAAGCCATCAATAACTTTTAAATAATTTTATACTGTTACTGATAAGAGTTGTTATTTTTTAAAATATTGTTGAATTAATTATTGATTTTATTTACTTCACTGAAAGTAATTTTTTTCTTTTTTAAATTGACGAATTAAATATTTAACTCGTATATTTCATGAATTGGCAGAACAAATTCTTTTTGAAAAATGCCAGTTGAACGAAAAAGTCTGTCGTCGATAAAAGACCTCTCTCTGAACATGCAGTTGAAATTTCAAGCTGATCGGTCCAATACTTTTTTTAATCATGTTAGCTAGCTGCTAGATTGTCGAGGGAATGTAATTTAAGTTTAAAGTTGAGTTACTAAATAAATATCAATACTTACAACTAATCAGTTTCAATTTTTTTAATACCTCTTTTTTAGATATCCATTCAAATATTATTTCATCTATGATAGAAATTTATACTAAACAGATATTAATATCAAAATCTATTTGATTGAAAGGATCACAGATAGGATGTGTTAGACGAATAAAAGATTATATTTATCAGGTTTATCTGATCCTTTTTTCAGAATTGATGAATTCCCATAGAATAATAAATCAAATAATTTTACTGACAAATGAAAAATAATTATTTTTGATAACAACTTCATTGAAAAATATTTATATCAATTTGTCAGTGTATTTATTTAATTATTTTATTTTTATAAATATTCTAAATTAGTAAAATAATAAATACATCAATGAAAAATAGACAATTACAAAGTTTTACAAGGCTTTTGAATGAACAATAATATAATAAAGGAAAAGTAATTACAAATATTGAAGGAACTTTACCAATTTCAACATTTTATTTAAAAAAAATGTTATTTCATATTCATCGTAGACATGTGTGTTTAATGTTTAATTCCAAAAGTTTTAATTAATAAATTTTTAGAGATAAAATAGTAAAAGGTTTTGAGAGCTCATCAATAAAGGATAAAATTTAAAATATATATGAATGTTTTTCGTATTTTTGTTGATGCAAAAGCCTTTAATAATAAAAAAAGAAAAAACAATTGCTAATAAAATTGTAGTTCAATTTTAATAATAACGATAATAATAATTACAGAGTCTTCAAGATGAAGCTTGTGAGAGATACAAGTGTATTTCATAAAGACGTGCTCTTCGAAACATCAAATGGCCGATCGATATCCTTTGATCCATCTCATGTCTATACTGGTAGCCTGGAGGGTAAGTCAACAATTTTCTAGCATCTTAGACTTTGATCTTGGTCGCTTTAAAGTTCTCTCGACTTATAAGATCACGCATGGATTCTTTTATTTGTCTGGTTGTTTGTGGTTTGTGATATCCCTGAGTATATCCTTCAGTGCAAATAATGTGAAAAGCTTGGTCCGTTTTCATGTAAGAGGATAATTAAATTTTCGATTGTGGCTTGAATCATGATTCATGAAAGACCCTACGATCGTTGAGTCGTTTAAGTGATGATGGTGGTAGTGAGTCTTGTGGAGTAGAAAGGATAGAGGTAGATGTAAGAGGCAATAGTGAAATGAGGACATAACTCGATTCTCTGAAGGTTCCTCCTTTTCACGCTGCTCTGACGAAAAGGACCTCTGGAAATTTGAGAGAGCCAAATCCACTCAACATCGTTGCTAGCGAACAGAACTTGTCTAATGTGGTTCAATTTCTCTCTCTCCCTCTCCTTCTATCTTTCTCCTTCTCTTTAAAATCATCTACGAACAATTCCGCATGGAACTCTCCAAAAGATTCAAGAGCAACTAAAATACCCTTAACGTCAGTCCTAGTCATGAGTCTAGACACACCACTTTTCCAAGAATTTTTTTTTCTCTTCTTCTACTTAATATAAACCTTTAATCTGTCAAAACCAATTCATTCTTTAAACAATTTTTTTTTCTCATTAAAGTTTGTTGAAAAAGTTTTAAAGATATTGTTTTTGACATGAAGAAGTTCATTCTATTACTTTAATACATCTCGTAAATAAACAAACTTTAAATTAATTTTATTTTATTATTAAATTAATTTTTAATTAAACTATATAACTTTGGTAATAAATGGACGTTAGACTTCCTTTTTTTATCCTTCATTAATATTTCTGCTGACATTCTGTTATTCTCTTTGACATTACTTTCAATTTTTTTAAACAAACATCTATATTCTTATCTAATGAATAATAAAGAAATTTCAAACTCATTTAAAAGTACTCAATAATTTTTTTGCAATTGTTTTCTAAGAGAATATTATCTGAAAAGTTTTTCTCATTTCAATATATTTAATAAATAAACGAAGTTTGAATGAATTTCCAATCAAAGTATATAACTTTGTTAATGTATGGAATTTGTAATGAATTCTTGTTCTTTCAAGTGAAAAAATTATTTTCTCTGATCTTTGGTAACGAAGTTGGAAACTAACGTGACTTTTAATGTAATTATCATCCTTTATTTATATTTAATACAACTTTGTTCTACATATTAACTTAGTTTGGCGTGTATGATTTGTAATAATAATTTATAAGTTGAATGCAATAGCTATTAATAAATTGTTTTTAATTTTTTACTTTGTTAATAGTTCATAAATTAAAAGCTCTATTGGAGAATTAATAGGAATAGAAGCTAGATATTTTTGAAGATTTTAATAAATCATGAATCAACTGAGAGCTTAAATGTAAGTATCTCGAATAAGCTTTTGTGAGCTCAATGGAGATTCATAATAAATCCACAAGTTGTAATGAATTAAATTGAGTAAACAGAATATTAATAAATCACATGAATGCATTGACAAATGATTTTAATTGGTAGTTTAATAAAATTCCAGTAAGGAATAATGTACAGCTATTAGAGGAATGAGTGGAAATTGGAAAGCTGCTTTCTAACTGACAGTAGTGGAATAGTATGCTTGTAGAAAACAAGCTTTGTCGTCCTTTCCAAACCTTTTAGATAATGGAACAGTCGTGAGCACGTTAAATGGATTTCACGACCACATAAATGTGAAGTGTACAGTCACCGAGAGAGAGAGAGAAAGAGAGAAATATAAATGAATTAAAAGGAGTGGAAAAATTTATGCCAACTTTTATATATAGAATCGAAATGTCCTTACATGGATTTTATATATAAAGTATAAATGAATTCGCAACATGAGTTGGCAAGTTACCATGTCGAGTTTTCCAGGTGGCCGGAAAATTAAACCGCTTCGCAGAATTCCATGTCGCAGGTTCTAGTTGGTGCAGGCCGGCCACAAAATACGCTTCACCGAATTTACCACTCTTATCTTTATCTCTTTTAGAGTCTAGACATGGGGAAATCTTTTCGCTTGACTTCCACGGTACCTCTTGACATTTTTTTTCTTCCTCCCATATTTTTATTCCCCAGTGCAATGGTTGCTCGTATGTTGGGGATAAACAAATGCCGTATTACCGTGCACAATGCACATGCAACTATGATTTTTACCTCTTACTTTGGTTGAATAAAATACAAAGGTGTCTTGCAGGCGAAATAAATTGTCCGTCGAACATGAGATTATCGGAAAAAACATTAGGTACCGTTGGAAGAGAAAAATATAAGATAGGGATGGTTGTAGGAAAGAAAGAATAGAAGCATAAAAATAATGTCACGAGACAGCGGGATGACGCACGATCTCTCTTAAACCACTAGCTCGGTATTTCATTCTATAGTAGCCAGATGTTGTCGCCTTTCTACTCGTCTATGCGATTTAGTGCTTGTACACACGAGCAAATGTCGCTACCCCAGTCTAGCATAATAATGACTTCCTTTTATTCTTAAGAATTTTGACACTCGAGACAATCGTATGCGCATATTTTGTGATATATTGTTGCCCTTTTGTCTTCGCATCTTCGATTGCTTTCTGATTAAAGTAGTATGGCCGAAAATTATAAATAAACTCAGAACAGTCAGTCTATTATTATATTAAAGATAAACAATTAGTTATTAAATATCTTAATGTTTACATTGACACTCCGAATTAAAATACATTGAAAAAATTTTTTTTTATATCAAGTAAATATGTAATTGTTGTAGAATTAAATAAATAATCACTCATGCTAAGGAAATAATTAATTAAAGCAAATATTTAATAATCTATTAAATAAATTATTTATTTAGCACTAGACCGCACAGCAATTATATATTTACTTAATACTACAATTTATTTTTTTTCAGTGTATAATACTTACGTTTATTTTAAAACACTTCAAGTGCATTGGAATAAAACAGTACGATTTTCACTGGAGTTGCAGCCTAATTTTATTTTAGGATTTGAGTCATTTTGTGTCAATGAAAGCATTGTTTCCCATAATTATTTATTTTATTCAAACTTCAGTTTTTATGAAGTGTACTATTGTAATTAATTACAGTAATTTTAGATAATGTTTGGTATGTTATTTAAAATTTAGGAAAAAATAGATACTACCTTAAATAATGTTGTTGATTTATTATTCGTTAACCAGAGTAAACAAATCAATGAACGAACAACTATAATAGGTGTTTGATGATCAATATTAATTTAAGAGAATTTTTAATTGACTTTTTATGGTCAAGAGATTATCTGAATTCATAAATTAATTTTTTATTTTACTCTTATAGATCAAGAGTCATTAATAAATTAAAAATTCTTGCATTTTTATTTATTTTTTTTTAGAATCTGCTTTCCAAGGAAAATTATTCCATTTTTTTAATCTGGTATTTTTAATCTTGGATAAAAAAATATTTTTACGTAATGAAAAAAATTAGCGGATTGAAATATTTCCATGGAGATAATTTGTTCGATATTCTAGAGTAGCTGTCTGTTATCGGGGAATTTTAAATTGAAAGTAACCACTCTTCCAAAAATATTTAAATTTTCATGAAAAGTGGAATTTCTCATTCGCAAGTATTTTTGTCGAGTGTTCCGTAAACTTAAAAAAATTTGTCACAATATGTAATCAAATGACTGTATATTCCTGCCCGTTTAACTCGTGACACATTTCCCTCCGACAATTTGTTTCCATTTTACAACCATAAATGTAGTTCTCCTGTGCAAATATGTACCTTTTCAATCATTTGATACACCTCGCTTGAAAATGAACAACATATTTGAACTTTTTCATCCTATTTATAGAGTAAAGCTTCAAGAAGTGTGTATACTAATTTTCCACCATTTTATTTTCTCAAGATAAAAAAATCATGTTTAATTCATTGTAGCCCAAGATTTGAAAAAACATCGATTTTATTTTATTTACTTATTTTTTAACAATTTATTCATTATTTTATTTATCATATATATTCCTAAACTAATAAAATTAATTAATAAAACATGTATTTTTCAAAATTAAAAAATATTAAAAAGGTTAAATATTAATAATGAATTATTTTTATTTGTTGTTGTTTGTTAATTGTTGTTGCGGGATTATTGTTATGATTTTTATTTTTAAATAACAAACAACTTTCTTTTTTTTCGATCGAAACAAAATTAGCAAAAGTGATATAATTTATCAAATTTTTTTTGCTTTGGCATGACAGTTATTTTAAAAATAGAAGAACAAAAAGATCGATGACATTATAGAAGCCAATTGTGTTATCTGAAAAAGTGTGTCAACAATCATTTTCAGGAGCCAATTGAACTATCAAAATTAGTTAACAGTATTATTTCGTATTTTTCATTCCATCAAATCGCAAATAAAAAATAAATTTTTCCAATACCCGTAAATCTTTGATTACCTTTAGAACCATGGTATTTGTCATCAATAAAGTTTTATTCATATTCAAACAATTTATGAGAAGCTCTTTTATTTTTCTAATCCGTTGAAATCTGATTTCCAGCATAATTGAAAATACGTTTATCCACTGTATCTCATGTGTGAATATTTTTTCTACACAATAGCACACTTTTTTAATGTCTGTGGCTTAGTCATATGAAGAATTAATAAATTTCACTGTCGTGTTTGTGCGATAAAAATCGCAGGAGAGGTGAATAAATTAACAGCAGAGTGGCATTTCGTTAGTCCGAGAGTAATAAATTCTAATTGTGCTACTCAACCGTTGTGAAGTGGCTGGGAGATGCGAGAACCCTTGGAAAAGTTTTTAATTGCCAGGAAATAATGGGTGGCTTTATCCTTTTTCGTCATCTCCTACGTAGACTTTATAGCATCAACCAAATGCTTCCAACGCTGCTTTTCTACGTATATATATCTCTCTATACTTTTATCTAGTACATCTCCCAAG